AGATTCATCTGCAGGGGCCACTCAAACCTGATTTCTGCATCATGTATGAAGGAACCCACTGGAGCACACACCTTTGAGTGGAACAGGTGGAGTCAGCACGACACCTGGTGGTCCTGGGCGTCCACGGTCTCCAGGATCTCCCTGAAAGCATTCACGCACGCCTCTTAGTAAGACGAACATTCCTCTCACATTGTCTGACATTAAATCACCAGTAGACAGGCCACGAGTGTATTTACATAAGCAGCAAAGATTGTAGGCTGGGTAGGGAAATGAATGGCTTATGGATTCCTAGGGGAAGAACAATACGTCCACCTCCAACCTGTAAGACCGACATCCCTGACCAACTGGCACTTCCCAGGTTCATAAATCAGATATATCTGATGCCATTGAGTGGCTTCACTGTGCTCCGAGAGTGCACCTCTTTAGTCGACACTCTGGTTTATTCACCTGGCGAGTTCTGAATCTAGTTTTATGTTAGCAGCCCACATTGCCCCTCCTCCTTTATTCCCACAAGGCTCCCCTGGCTTGGTCTCAGGGCATGCTCTATCTGGGATCACAGAGTGGTCAGGGAAGTGGACGACATTCCGTCTTGGTACAAGCAGGAGATCTCAAGAGTGTCCTTCGTTTCTTAAAAAAAAATAGTTGTTGTTGAAAATAGACACAACAGAACCTAAAAGAACTCAAACATGTTGACATGTACAATTCAGTGACGTGGATTACATATTTCAAGTTGTGTAAATGGTCCCAACCTCCTTTTCCAAGTTATTCCTCCCCATTAGCATAAACTCCCTACTCACACTTCCTTCCTACCTAACTTTTCAAGTTGCTGTTGTCTATTTGATCTCAGTATAGATGGTACTTAGCTAATGAAGCTCCCTGTAAGAAAGGAGAGGTGGTTGGCTTCTGTCCAGATTTACAGTTTTGCAAATCCCAGAGGCAGCTCTGCTCTGCCCCACGGAGCTGATTGGAGGCAGAATGCACTCCGTGGCAATGGGTTTGGTTGCACGTAGTTTGGTTTTATTGTTTGGATTCAGGAAGACATCAAGGGATGATTTTGGCTTAAGGTTTAAAGATGATCTCAGGACAGTCATTTGGAGGTGCTTCTAGTCAGTGGTTCCAGAAAGTCTGGATCCCATTAAGAATTAGAAATTCGCTTGAAGATAAACAAGCGGCCATCTAGCACAGAAGCATCAAAGCCCACATGGAAGTAGCACACCAGCCTGTCTGACCA